CTGTAGCACCAGGCATTGCTCACCTCAAGCCCTGCTTTTGCACTTCATGTGTGAGAAAGTGCTTGACACACATAGCAGCAGAAGCTGGAAAACAAGTATTTACTTGCCCAATTCAATATCTGGTGTATTATGAAGACTTCATGTTCCAAACAGTGACACAAGAGCTGTTAGTTATGTCAGACCATTGCATCGTGCAGCCTCCACCTAAGAATGGCAATGGCAGTGTGGTGTATTTATGTGTACAACATTAAGGAGCGTCTCCCTTTACATGATCCATCTTAACTCATGTGCCAGTAACGCTGCCTCACTGCTCGGAACACCTGCAGAATTCCACAGTCAAAAAGTCATTGACAAACTGCATCCATCTCATGCAAATAAAGAATTTAAGTAAGTTTCTCTGACCTCTTCTTCTGAGCAGTCAGCGTGAACTGAAGTCATGAGGCCCTTTTTTGACACTGTCAGGAATAATCCCTGAATATAGTGAAAAGGTATTACAACACAAAATAAAGTTTATTTTAGTTACAAATTCCTGAGAACACCATCACCAACAGACTGCAGAACAACTTTTGGGTTTAGGAAGTGATACATAATTTAAAAGTCATGTTCTTTGGGGTGACAGGGGAAAAAATCTGCAGTTTATTGCCTTCCAGATTCTAAATATTTTTTCAGTCTGGTGGTAAACCAAACACTTTTATGCATTTGTTGACATGTCCAGTGCCTTTGGCAATGTGCAAAATCCTTGTTATTTGGGTCAGACAAGTGTCCTCAAAAACAAGGGAACCCAGCAGGTCTTCCAAGTCTGCCTGTGCCAAACTCTGTTTGCTCTAGTTCAGTGGAAGTGGCTGTTAAAGATAACCTACAGCAAGCCCTGCTCTGCTGTGGCCTCTGCAGGGAGCTGGGTTGCCTGGCTCAGCCTCCTCCTCCTCTTCCTGACTTCTCAAGGTCAGACCGAGGAATCTACTGCCTTCCACATGGGCATGCCAAAAGGCAGCAATCTTCACCAGCTCCGTATCACTGCCTCTTGGCCCTGGCCCCAGAACTGGCTGATACTCATTTGGCAATGCACCCTTATTTCATGCCTCCCTGCTAGAAGTCACAGCAGAGAGACAGAAAAACAAATGGGCCATAAGAGCAAAACCTCTCTCTTCCCAAAATGTAAGTCTGTGCATAAGAAGAGCCTCTGGTGTCTGTATGAGGCTACTGCATGAATCAATTGAATGAACTGCTCTCATTTACTGCACATGAGAGATACATCTCGCCCTCTCCCCTCCAGGTACAGACTGTCACAAGTAGAAAGTAGGATTTAGATCCTTTGGTCCCCTCCCACCAAGTCCTACCGGTAGCCTGAAATTAGAAGCTGCTATCTCATTTGGCTGGTAATTGTACCTCCTTTAGAGAGGAATCTCATTTTACAAAAGTTCAAGAACTGAAGAAGAGTTTATCCTAGTCAGCAAGTTTGTTATCTTCAACGCTCTGACTCAAGGCAGCTGAAAATGAATATGGCACATATCTATAATGGAAACTCTCATATATATGATGGAAACTTTCCATAGGCTTGAAAGAGGCTTGAAAGCCGGATTTACAAAGTATTTCCTAGGCACCAAGTGAATACAGCCTTTCTTTAAAATGTAGCAGGTGTGATCCAAACAGCAGATACATTCACAGATACAAAGACGGAAGATAAGTTTTAAGATCTCAGACGTGGAAATACAATTCTCAAAAGCTGGTATTTGAATCAAGAGCTTTGTCTCTTCAAAGTAACCTTATGTTGCACATTGTCCTCACTCATTTGGGTAAAAGTATTTCTTTGAGTGACAAACCTGTAAATCCACTTAATAGCTGTGAGATCCGTATTGCCTTGACTTTTTCTTGCTTTATCATGTATGTCACTACACCAGCTCACTTGGATGAGCAACTGGCTCATTTTAGGTGTGTACATGGTAAGATCCTAAATGTACTTTTGAAGCTGCACTTAAGCAACAGCACACTATTGAGATATGAGGTGCAACCTGGGGAACAGCAGCTGTCAAAAACATCCAAACCAAACAAGCTCAGCCCACTTTTCTTGGTGACAAAGACATAGATGTTGAAATACATTCGTATTTACATCAAATATTTGTCACATACTTGAATGCCTCAGTTTGCAGCATACATAAGCAGCATTCAGCACACATGATTTCTCACTGCCACTTCCGTACTGGCAGCCAGGCAAATCCCAAAGTACAAATACTGTTCCTTTTCCTCTCCAACACTATGTGGCTGCTGCATTTATGCAATTTGCTATATGGTGTTTCTCATCCCAATGGAAAGCGCCTCTGATCTCCCTCTCCAGAGGCAAGGCACAGCCTTAACACCCCACAGATGTGCACACTATGGGGAAATCTAAGGAGTCTGGGAATCAGTAGGTAAGGATGGTGGGAGAACAGGGGCATGGAGCACCCTTTCTGTTCTGCCCACTGTGACACCTGGCACACTCCCACCACACCCAGGCTGGGCCGCCCTGTGCAGACCACCGAGCACAGGAAGGACATTGTTCTGCACAACAGTACAAACGTGGCCAACATGCCCAAGAGGAAGCACTGCGGAATGTGCCGAGCAGCCCCTGCTGTATTCCTGAAAGGGACACACTGAAGCTAAGGAAGCGGATGGGGTGAAATCTTGTCCTAATTATGTTAATAGGAGTATTGTAATTGTCTTCAGTGGAGCTAGGCTTTCTCTGCAGGGAACCTGCCAGAAAATCCCAATACCCATTTGTATTTTCCTATTTCAGGATGAAAATTAGGTACAGCACATATTTCACTCACTGGTGTAGGGCTGTCACCGTGGAAACCCTGTTCAACAGAGTGTAAAAACTTTTACAGTATTGGCTGGGTTCATAGAGTGTTGAGCACCATTTTCCCCCCATTAATTTTATTACAGGTATTATCACTGAAAAATTAGGCAACCTACATGTGTACAAATAGCTGTAATTATACACGTAGCTGCTATGTATGTCTTCTGAAACAAATCCCCTACTGTATTTCTCAATTAAATTCCACTCTTCAAACCCACCATGATCATATAAAAAGAACTTCTGTATTTTTCCAAGCATATACTAATTATGTTTTCCATTGCAACATTCAGGAGTAGAAACTGCTCCATCTTGCAAATGGGGAAAGCAGGGTACACGGGAGTCACAGACCCTGTCAAAACCATGCAGCCAATTCCTGGCAGATTCAGGAATGGAATCCATGAGTCCTGACTCTTTAGTTCCCCTGCTCTGATCACCAGACAACACTCCCTTCCTCTGAAATAGGCTATTTTGATTGAAAACAGATGGTGTACATTTTTGGCACAGTGTTTTTTAACTATATTAAAATGCTCTGAATGAATATGCGCTTATATCATACCTATGTATGCATACATGTATACACATGCATACTACATCTATGCATACAGGAATAGGTATGAGTTAAGGACATATTAATTTACATATATCGTATGCAAATGTAATGGATATGGTGAAAGATACTTAAGTGCAGCTGGACAGCTGACATAGCTAAAAAGATAAGCTGTATTTTTCAGTGGTATTGTAATTACATACTATGTATTCTTTCTCTCTAAGCAACAGATTTTATGTTGTTGATGGATTGTTCGCTTTTATTTAATGCACAAATTAATGTTTTTAATCATTTGATGAGAAATTTTGATGAGTTTCAGTAAGGGATGAATCACATCCTTTTTCATTAACTTCAGGACCAACCTCCATCCTAGCTTAACAATGCATCTAGTGAACACTGCCTGCATTTGTAGTGTTCTGGGTTTTTTCTGTAACTGAGTTATGTCTTTAAGATCATGCTTATGTTTAGGATTCGCTTTTTCTGTCATAGTATTTGCCTCTGAATTAAGTCTTCTCTAAACATTTTGTTTCCAGCTAAGGACTGGCAAACCTTGGACTTCCTGTCTGTCAGGATCAAGATTTTCCCACACGAGATGGCGAGGGACAGTTTTTAACTATCCAGTTCCTCACCTGCAGCCTTGGGTCAGGTAAAGATGGTCTGCCATATCAGCTGGCAAACAGCTCAGGAGATCTTTTCCATGGTTGGAAATCATCAGAATGGGGTCATATCACTTGCTCTCTTGTGCATTCCCTGCAAGGATGGGATGGTGGCCTTGAAAGCTACTCAGATGGGATACATCTCAGTGACAGCCCCCTACCCACAAACACCATTTCCACAACCACTTCCCATTGACTCTATTTCCATTTCTTTTATTGGTCCACTGGATCTTTCCCTTCACTTGCCACAAAAGAGGTAAGGAATTAAGCCTTCAAATCCACAGTTATGCAGGGGGAGTTGAAAACAGCCCATTCGCTTTGGGTGATAATCCTTTGTCTGCATGTTGGCCCCAGCTACCTCATGTCTTACAGGGACAGAAAGTGAGTTAAAATTGGGGGTGAGATTAGAATTCGGGAATTCTGTCCTTGCAGAAAGGGGACTCTGAGCAAAAATACTTACTTCGGTCTGTGCTAATTCCTGCGGGACTGACCCATGAACGTGTAACAGAAAAAGGAAATATTGCTGATACTCACTGCTCTTCTGGCTTTTTTGGTTCTAAATCTGCAGAACTCAGGAATCAGGAAATGCCTGCAGAAAGGTTTTGAGGGGGTCAAGAAACAGAACTACGCTACAGTGCTGCTTTATCTATGGATAAACAAAATATGGCCGCTTATTGTAAAGAAAAAAGAGCTCAATCTCTTTCAGAACTGTAGGTCAAAGAAATCCACAGAAGGTAGCACTTGTTTTTTCTGGTTTCACACACAATGCTGTAATGTGATATTAAAATCCCCACAATTGTGTTTACAACATCAGCTAGCAGCTGTTAATGAGGACAGTACCTTACCTCAGCTCTTATCTTGTACAGGATGGATTAGCATGTTTATATTTTCCCATCTGTTTGTTATGCTACAAAACTAATATTCTGCCACAATCTATTCTTAGTAAAGATTTTTTTATGCTAATTTCCTCTGTATCAAAAGATACAGTAAATGTATGTACTCAGGATAACTCTCTTGCAATTCAATACACTAAGCTATTTTGCTCTAACTTCGCAAAATGTAATATGAATTTCCAAGTAGAAAAAGTGTTAAAAGAATAGTCTGTTCTTGCAAACTATTATGTGGTAACCAGGCCTCTCTCATATCAATAAAAAGCTCTCCACAGTGACACCCTTGCCCTTTCTCTAGCCACTTTCTGCCAGGTAGGAATCAGAGAAATGCAAAACAGCCTTAAAAGCTCCATATCTGATCAGAGAAAACTCTCTCAGTGCAGGTTAGGTACAGACTTCCAAAGACTTTGTTCTAGTTTCCTTTTAATAAGCCATTGCAAAGGGGACTGAGTTAATTTTTTAGGCTGCTGTGCAGCACGAATGCAACAGCCTGGACAAAATCTGCTGGATCCACCCTGCAGCAGGCCAGTGCTGGCAGGACGATGAGGCTGCTTGAAGGCAACGCAGCTTGAGCTGCTCTGGAATGCTGGTTGCATGCAGCACTGGATCTTCTTCCATCGGTTTTGGTGGGGTTCAGACTACCCTCTTGCCATTCAAGCGCAAATAGGCTCTCTGTTAATAAGCTGCCTGATGTTTTTTTCACAAGTATTGATTAGAATCCAGAAACTAAAAAAAAAAAGTCACAAGGAGAACGTAACATGCAATGTATATCCAATGCAGAAGCCTGGTTTTTCTACAGCTTTCATGATGTTCTGAAGAGTTTTTTCATGTTCCCACATTATCTCCTTATCTCTACCAGTCAGAATAGATACCCTGTGATAAACATGCACAGGAAACTAAGCCCCAGAACAACTCCATGATTATCCTGAGACTACTTGGTGAACTGGCTGGAGATGGGAAGGCTGCCCAGCTCTCTCAGTAATCCACCCTTGGCCTTAGTTCAGCAGAGCACTTAGGTACTTGTTTAACTTAAACAAGATACAGTGCTTTACCGTGAATCATAGACCTTTTCATTATTATCACTTTTACTGCAGGGAGAGGGAATTAAGTCTTAGGAAAGGCCTTGAAGCAAACGGGAGCAATAAATTCAACATCCTGCGGCTCTGCACCCTGGGTCTGCCAGAGTCCCTGACCAGAGGGAGGATGAGGTTTAGAGACCATGGCCCAGCTCATTTCCTCCTCCTGCAGTAGACAGCAGTCAGATTAGTGACTGCAGGATTGCTGCTGTGTAGAGATGAGCTAGCCATAGCTGGAAGCTAATTACACATCCACTAGCCACTCTCCTTATTATTCAGTCAAGGAACAAAATCTTCATTTGTTGAAAAAGCCAAAAAAACAGCCAATAACTGTCAATGTCTTTTTTTGAGAAGACACAACTATGGCTATCACTCTTCATTGCAAAAGTGCAACCTTTTATAACATCTTCAAAAATATTTTTTTGTTACCAATTTCGATTGGAAAATTGGAACTCCAATTTTCACCACCTCCAAAACGAAATTCTGTTCTTCAGGAAGAAGAACAAGAAATTGATGGCAGCAAATGCTGGATTCCAGTTGATGAATGAGGCCGGACCTTCCTTCCTCCTGACGCACCACACATAGAAATTGTTGGTCTTCTGAGCAAACTGTGAAAGAAAAGGTTTTGAGATATAGCTGTATCACGATTAATGTTTCTATGACAGACAAATATATTCCTTGCCTAAAATTTTACTAACATTCCATTTTATTTAATGATTTGAATTCACCAACAGTGCGCTTTGGCATACCTTGGGATATTAAGGGGAGGCAGCAAAAGCTCTTTGGTTAAGGCTGAAGCTAACTTCTGTTATAGCACCCTATTTTCATCCCTTCGACATAACTTTGGCTTGGAAAGCTGCTTGAGTCTGAAGCTTGCCAGGTGTATTTTAGTCACTTCTGCAAAAACTGAGGAAAATCAGCCAAATGACTTTCAAGTTACAGGTTGTTAAAACTTACTGTGATTGGAAATATCTACTTTTAATTAGTATTTTTAGTCCTTGTCTTCAGTTTGATTGATTGAGTTGAATTAATGCCGTCGATAGCAACACTCCTGCCTTCAGAAAATTTCACTGTCACTTAAACTCATCCCCAGCTGAATGACTGTGACTGTAGAGCAATGTCCTTTTCCCAACCTATGTGTAGCCCATCAGGAGAGGTTATTGTTCATGACACCATCTCTGACGTTTGTCTTTGCCCACATGCTGGAGACTGTCCCTACCTTCGACATCTAGGAAGGTCTAAGTGAGCCCCAACTTATTTCAGCCAAAGTGACTGGGTTACTTGAAACAATGACACAGCGCTCCACTGCTAACCTCACCCTCCTGCACAGATGCAGGTAGGGAGCACTCATGCCAGCAGATCTGCTCTCACTTCTGTAAGAGGTTACCCTCACAGAAGGAGCACTATAACAAAATGAAGCTGTACCACTGGCCAGCACCTCCTTCCACAAGTACAATTATTTCCAGTGCTATCCACACATGAGGATTCGAGCCAGTGTTATGTTCACACTTTTTGATTAAACTAGTACAAATATTTGTCTTTCTCTACCTCAAAACCCACTTCTAACCTTTCCATATAATTAAATCGTCTTAATTTGTGCACTGACAGTTTACAAAGACAAATGGTTGACATTGTGCAAAGATATAAACCACTCTCATTTTTCATAAGACTGAGTCCAAAGAGTTTTGTTTGTTTCAGAAGGAATTATGAGTTCACTTATGTTCTTGCTGAGATCAAGGAGGCTTTTTTTGGCATTGGCTTGAGTGGGATAATTACTGAACACTACATAACATTTTAAAATGGTTAGATTAGATGGTAGAAAGAAATTCTTCACTATGAGAGTGGTCAGGCACTGGCACAGGTTGCCCAGAGAAGCTGTGGATGCCTCATCCCCAAAAGTGTTCAAGTGCAGATTGGATGGGGCTTTGAGTAACCTGGTTTCCTCCAGCAACGTGGTTGAAGGTGTCCATGCCCATGGCAGGGGTGCTGGAACCAGATGATATTTCAGGTCTCTTCCAACCCAAATCATTCTATGATTCCACGATTTCAAGATTTTCTTCTCTTTGGGAGGTGACCTGAAGCTACCTGCTGAGTGGCAAAAGGCCTTTATTTACACCAAGGCTTTCTACAAGTCTCTCTAGTTTTACAGAACACTTCATTTTTTTTCTATTAGTTTTCACTGCAGAAGGAATCAATCCACAAAATGTAGTACCGGCAAATAATAAAATTGCTGGTTTCTAGTCATTGTTAGCTGCACCAGTCATCACCTACTTAAAATGTGATGACTGATTACAAATTTAATCCATGAAGAGAGAGATGGGGCTTGCTGCCTCTCCATCTAAATAAATTTAGCAAACAAACTCTAAATGCCAACTGTTGATAAGCCATGATATTGTGATTTCAATCTGCAGACCATGATGGAAGTGTCTGTTTACATTAAGTGTTCTATCTCTGATTAAAACAGACTTCTGCCTGAATTACATCTGTTGTCATTGCCTATACCTATTTTCCCAATGAAATATGTATTTTAGAGCTTTGATGCTATTTTTACAATTCTTAAGTTAAAAATAAGTACATAAAATAGTCACCGCTGTTTTCAGTATATCAATATTTTTTCAATAAAATTCAAATAAAACAAAATAGTACTTTAAAACAACAACTGAATTGGTCAAACTTCTAATCTGAAAACTCCACAACCCTGGGAAACTTAGGATCAGTGTGTGATCTCTTGCATTCTCTTTTGTAATGAGCTGGGCACTCTGAGCACTAAAGTTAAATCCAAAATAAAAATCCTAACATAAAGTTAATCCAGCTCTATCCACTCTGGACTCACATTCCAAATTATGCATCTTGGTGGGCTTGTTTTCATCTAAGTACAGTTGCTGTTTTCAACAAATAAGTTTTTTTTTCCTCTCCCTCTTCACAAGCTTCCCTCCCTCTCTCTTGCCACACTCCCTGCCCTTGACTTCCCCTCTAAACCACTTCCTTCCCATATGATTTCCAAATTAATCATTCTGCTCTCTCCCTCCCTCCTCTCTATCCCATTTTCCTCACTTCATCCTGTTTCCTTGCCCAATCAAAGATCTCTTAGTCACAAGTTTCCTCATTCCTCCTCCTCTCTTCCATAAATGTTACTTATATGACAGTAGCAGCTCATTGCAATTTTTAAAAACACTTTCACAGTTAATCCTCATTGAATTAATCTCTAAGAATATCCTTTTTATAAAAAAAAAAAATCCATAATACAGTACTGGGTATTCACCAGAAGAGGTACTCATTTTAGAGGAACAGATATTGAAAGTCTTGATTATGATCAGTTGAAACTATGAAACATTACAAAGAGAGCTGATTTAGAAGCAGCTCTCATGCTGAGTTACTCCAATTGTAAGATAAGCAACATTAGTTTTGTATAGGCATCAGCCAAATAATGTAAATGTATCCGCTTTTCTTTTGGATCAATGGATTATCTTGCTGTGCCTTGTGTGGCAGTGGCAGAAATTTGCATCTATCGTCCAGTTTCACAAATAAGTACATGGTCTTCCTCAGAACTCTTCAGTTTGAAAAGCCAGTTGACCTGAGAAAGAGTCCTACCTCACCAAATATCTTCATTTGAGGGAGTGAAGTATCTTGAGGAGAGTTCAACTTTCGAAGGTGGCATAACACAATCAACAGATTCGAGACACAGTGGAAAAAAATATCAGCATAGACAGAGAAATCCACAAGAAAGAACTGGACTACGCAGGGACTAAAGGTTTGAAAAGTTGCAGACATTACAAACTACAAAAACAAGAGAGAAAATAAAATAACACTCTTAGATTTATGTTACTGAAGAAAGGAAAATAAAAAAGAATTTCAGACTGCTATGCTGACATTAATTAAGGTTTACAGCATCCCCAAGAGCTTTGGCAGACTTGGTCCCACTTTTATGGGAAGAAAACGATATATTGAGAGATAAAACAGCATTGTAAGAGTGCAAAGACAGGGTCCTGTTTCGAGGTCAGCATGAGACGTGACTTTGGTCAGTTCCTAGTTTGCATCATAAAAGCAGGATTCGGATTATAGCAATTTCATGCAGTTATAAATGCAATTCCATTACTTCCTCTCCTCTTCTTTAATCATAGAGGCTATCTTGTTTCTGTTCAGAGCACAGCACCTCCAGACACTTCAGCAGGGTCAAAACCACTTCATTCTTCACAGAAAATTGTATGCTGGTAGTGGCCACATTCTCATTAGTTTTAAATGAAGATTAAAACCAGGGGAGTCAGGCTGACACAGAACCAGTGTAGTGAGATCAGCATGATGCAATTTGTCTCTGAGGTAAAATTAGTCAGTTCAGCCATTCACAGAAAATCATTAAGACTATAAATAAGACTCCAAAGACCAATAAAAGAAGCATGAGGGAAGAGAACGATAATTCCATATTTACAATGTCTATATATGCATACACATTTATGATCATTGTTTTGGGATTAGGTAAATAATAAGCATCAATTTTGCCAGGTACCATTTAGTGCTTGTAGTTGGACTGGTCTGTAGACCTCACAGGAGAAATAGGTCTTGGCAAAGCAGTTAGAGAGGAAAAGAATAGTAGGTTTACAAGTCTTTAAAAACGTTAAGGTGTGTTACTAAATGCATTATTATAGGTACTGAGATTAATCAAGTTCTGCAATAGTCATCAGTTTCAGTGAAGAGACCTGTTTGCTTAGAGTTAAGTTTGTCCCAGCAGCAAGATTTATGTGAAACTACAGTGTAACAGATTATAGGACAAGCATTGCTTCATTCACACACACTGGTCTTCAGGGTCATCCTAGACTGCAACCAACGTGTGCTCTGTCTGCAGCCAACTGCAAACACTTCTCAGTTATTACTGTAATTCAGGTGACAGCTGTAGGATCCCTTTTCAAGTGGTACCATCACACGTCTAAACACACGTTCTCTAAATTGGGTGCCAGCACTGTTTTTGCACAGACTACTACCAAATTCTCCCTGGGGGATAAACCACTACACCAGTACAAACAACATGTGTCTACACAGTGAAGTTTTGGAGAACAGAAAAGCCTGGATGCAAAATTTCGTCAACACATAAGTGCCACTCTTGAGCACTTGTCCCTAAGCATGTAACAGATCTACCGCTCACAAGCATTATTCACCTGCCAGGAAGCATGTGGGACCCCTCTCAACTTTAGAAATGGTTTTCATACCAAAACCAGATATCCAGAATATTTCACCCAAAACAACAAACCTCCTGCCCCTGGAGAGAAAAGGTTGTTTATTATACCAACATTTAGTATTGCAACACTCAACATACATGTTAATACATAAACTACATCGTTCCAACCCTATCCTTCTCATTCCTCACTATTCCCTCTCTTGCTATCAGCTTGCTTAATTTATTGTAAGATATAAAATCCTTATTATCATTAGTTATGTTTTAGGTACCGTAAACATTTGTAAAGCTAAGCAATAGGAGGAAAATATTATTGTGATATTATTAAAACAAGAACAGGGTGAAACAAACGCATGATACTTATGAAAGATACTGGGGTATGTTTGCACAACTTGGGTGTATTTTTAGGACACGGTCTGTCTTAGTGACAGAACATAAAAGAGAGAAGGAATTTCTGAGTGTTACACTGAATTCTTTTATTGGTTTTCTAAATATTCCGGACTAAAGCCTCTCTTGCAGTGTTTCTTATAATGCAGAGAAAATATTTTTCCATCCCATGGGCGTACTGTGAGAATTACTCATCCGGTACATAGATAATTCCCAGCAAATAAAAATGCCTCCAGTCATAGTTGGTGTTACCTGTTCCTCACAGCTTCTGTGGCACAACAGCTGACTACAGCCCAGTGGGCATATCACCAGTTGTTGTGGGGATGCCTATATATTTCTGGACAGGCTATTAAATGAGGAGAGAACAAATAATTCGTGTTTTCTGTGTTCAACTGCAGCTTACATAGCATGGTTTTCATAGGAACATATCATCTGCCTCTTATAGCCTCACTCAAGCTGAAAGCAATGCTGGGAAGAACTGGCTTGCTGTGCAACTTCTGTCAAGTGGTGCTGCTAGAAACAAGGGTTCATCTTTAAAACCAGAAATATAGGGAAAGTGAGCGCCTTTGCTGGGTACCCTTCCTTGTTTCCAAACACTTGGTCTGCAAGTAAAACAAGGAAAGACTTTATAATTGGCTGAGGAAAACACAGTAACATAAGTAAGTGAAATATCCACACCCATCATATCTCTGGCAATTGTTCTTTAGTTCACTTCCCTACCAAGGGGTGTGCCAAAGTCCAAGAGGCTAACATCCCTTTGACTCTTAGTCTTCTGCCTTTTCCCTCTGCAACCCTATTAATGGTTAATCTATGGTGATGATGAACTTGGACGATATGTCTCCAACCCCTATAGGAAGTGTGATCTGAACTGATCCACCCACACTGGCAACAGCAATTTATTTTTATTGCTGTCATCAGTGTTCCCCACCCCCAGCTTCAATCACAATTTCCACAAGTTCAGTGGAAAGCAAGCAGGAAATGCCTTACTCTCACAGTAAAACTGCCTGTGTGCCACAGCTTTGGAGAGGGCTCCTGCCACGGAGGCACTGCGGTGACTTTAGTAGACGAGGATCAGCAGCACCCCAGGTACTCGCACAGGGCTCCTGTAGTACTAAGGATGTATCCCAGCACAGGAAGGAAATCCTTTCCTTGTCCCTGTCCTCTCAGTTTAATCTTATCTTCTACCCATTACAAGCTTACTTATAGCTGTAGTAGTTTCTAATATTTCTGGGAGGGTTTTTGCTTAAAAAGCTCTTAGAATTACATTTTCTGCACATTTTTTCATTCACCAAGAGTAGACAGGAGTGTTTTTTCCTTTGAAAGGCTGTTGTTGAAGCTGATGGATCCCCTTCCCAGGCTCATTGACAGAAAGGCGACTTTTCCCAGACCCACATCCAGTCTGCTCTGCCTTTTCACATGTATAGGGTAGGAAGCACTGAGTTTATATACACCTGAGTGAATCCGAGCAAACATATGGGACCTGAAATGTGTTGTGTATTTCATCTTCATGATGAAATGTAAGACTGCTGATGTTTTATATCAGCTGATAAAAAAGCCAATTTAAAAAGAAAAAAGTGTAATATAGATGCTTGTTACGCCAAAACTCAGCTGAGGGTCTTCTGTTGGTTAATGAACTGAGGAAGCGGATGCCTGTTTCCTTCCCTGGAGCTCCAGCAGACACAGGACTTGGTGGGCTCCTGGAGAACACTTGAACTCCACCAATGGCTGGTGACCTTCGGGGGCTGTACTGTGTTCCTCCCTCACCCCCCCGACTGTTGAGGAAGGACGAACTGAAGTTACGGGCTGACTTACAGATGACATTCAATGCCCTGCGGTAGCCTGAGCACCACAGCACATCCCTTACACCTTTGGCAAAGAAAAGAGTGGCCACCACACGCTGCTGGGCCGCTGCCATTTTCCACCCTGGAGTTGGGCCCACTCCCTGATGCCTGGAAAAAGATCAATGCACAGTCCTCTGATTTGCTTCTGCCGTTGAGTCTATACTGCTTTAAAATAAAACACGTTGATGAACAAGAAAATCCTTCATCTCTCTGAACTGATGTGGGTTTCAAACGTCTGCGAAACGAGCTTGTTTTCCGGGCCCGTGCTGGGGTGGCACAGCAGGCTCCTCGGGGAAGGGAGGCACTTTTCAAGTGAGGACAGAACCGCCACGACCCGACTCATTTTCTGTCACGTTTTTAGCCCTCGAAGTGCGAGGCGGCCGAGGTCCCTGCTCGCCCTGGAGCTCGGCAGATACCCTCGGACACGGATGACCAACACCCTCGGAACAGCAGGCAGGCGCCGCTCCCGCTGCCCGCCGGCCTAACGAGGCTGGTGGGATCTTTACTCAACGGCCTAATTGCCGGGGAGGCGGCTGAGAGGAGCCAGGCCGGGGAACGGCGGCGGCTGTCCCCTCGGCTCGGGGGAGACCCCCGGACGGATCCGGGGGGTGGGTCCGCCCGGGGTAGCCCAGCGCGGGCGGCCCGCGGCCTCCCCTCTCCCGCCCTCTCTCCCTCCCGTCTCCCTGGGTCCGCCCGTATCCCTGCATTCCCTGCTGCAGCAGCATCCCCTCCTCCCCTCAATCCCATCAGTAGCGGCGGCCCCGGGTTCGGCTCCCCGCGCTGCGGCGGCGCTCGGCGGCGGCTCCCCCCGCCGCGGCCGCCATGTTGGGCTGCTGCGCGCTCGGCGGCGGCGGCGCCTGCCGCGTGTGACCGCGGGAGGGAAGGAGGGAGGGAGGGAAGGAAGGAGGGAGCGGCGGGGGAGAGGAGGGCGCGGAAGCGGAGGGAGGGAGGGAGCGAGCCGGGGAGGGAGGGCGCCGCCGCTACCCCTCCCCGCCGCCCCGCGCACGCACACACACACGCACACACACACGCACACACACACACACACGCATCCCGCACACGCACCGCCCGAGGATGCCCTTTGCCCGGGGGGGCGCAGCCGGGAGGGCATCGCGCCGCCGGGAGTGAAGCCACCGCCGCCGTCGTCGGGGCCTCCCGGCCCGCAGCGTGCGGCCGGAGCGGGGACGCCGGCGCTTCCCCTCCGCCCCAGGACGCGCACCCGGAGGAGGAGGAGAAGGAGGGCGCCGTCTCCGCAGCAGCAGTAGCAGCAGCCGCCGCAGCCATGGGAAGGATTTGACAGGGCTCGGAGCGCTTTTGCCGGTGTGTCGGGGCGCGCGTCCCGCCCGCCGCCCCTTGGCGCAGCGGACGAGAAGGGGGCGACGATGAAGACTTTAGTTTTTTTGAATCACTGAAAAGCCTTAAAAGGAGACTCGGTAAGGAGGAGGAGGAGGAAGGGAAAGGCTGCCTGGGGCAGGACGTGGCTGCGCCCTGAGGAGGGGGGGCTGCGCCCCACCCCGCGGTGGCCGCGGAGGCGCTGCTGGGGCCGGGGGAGGCGGCGGGGTCGACGGGGCTGCGCGGCCCCCTCATCCCTCCCTCCCCGCCGGTGTGCGCCCTCGTTTCTTCGTCCTTTCGCTTATATAAACACGTAAATACGCCTGTTTTTCCCTTCCCATCCGTTCTGGGAAGCGGATCCGGAGGGGCTGTTATCCCGTGGTGCTGCGGCGGGGCTCCTCTCAGGATTGCGCTGCATGATCTGCATCGGGAATGAAGGAGAAGACCTTCTTAAATATATAAGTGCGTGTGCCTGGGCACGCACAGTGAAATCGGTGTCAGTCAGTCTCGGCTGAATTTGAGTGCAATTATTATTATTAAAGCACCAGGAGTGGCCATAAATTCCCCCCCCCCCCTTTCTTATTAAGCCTATTACATTTTTTTAAGTATAACTATTTTCTTCGCTTAAAAATCATATGTACACAGATATACACACTACATGTGTGTGTCTGAAACTCCAAGGGTTTAGTTTCAGGCTGGGAACACCGAGGTAGGCTGGAAATTAAGCACTGCCACGGTTTGACGCTTGTTAAAAATACTGTTGACTTCTTTTTAAACAACAAAACCCTCAAAAGTTTTTTTTTTGTTGTTGTTGTTTTTCTGACAAAGTAATAATAATCATTAAAAAAGAAACCCCAATGCAAACTGAAACAACCATGTCTGGAGAAGTGCGTTTGAAGCAGTTGGAGCAGTTTATTTTGGATGGGCCAACACAGACTAATGGGCAATGCTTCAGTGTGGAAACCTTGCTGGATATACTCATCTGCCTTTATGATGAATGTAATAATTCCCCTCTGAGAAGAGAGAAGAACATCCTTGAGTATCTGGAGTGGGGTAAGTTTGAATGTGTTTATTTTGTGTACATCCGTCCATGTTCTTGTCTGCTTTGTATAATGTCTCTGTTATTTATGTGTAAGAGGGATTGTTTATAACACAGTGTTTTACCGGGAAGTGTTATCAGTTTTACTGGATTTAAACGTGGTGGTGGTGCTAAAAAGAAATCCATATTGGTTATTTGTCTTCGAGGCATGTACATAAAACATACTTTGTATTTTTTCTTTTTTTTGACTTGGATTAGACTCTGGTACTTGAGGCATATTTGTTTGCCTTCAGGCCCAGCTGTTGAGTTTTGTTTCCTAAAGTTGCTGGGAATATAGAATGGTAAGGGTTAAATTCGCTGATGCCTGGTAAAAGATCAATGCATAATCCTCTGATTTGCTTCTGCCGTTGAGTCTATACTTCTTTAAAATAAAACATGTTGATCAACAAGAAAATCCATCACCTCTCTTAAATGATGTGGGTTTGAAATGCCTGCGAAAATGGAGGAGATCACGTTCGCTTCTTAAACAAAATCATTGCTGACTTAAGTAGATTGATTTTCCTGATGAAGAAAACAGTTGAAAATCAGAATGAAACTGTATGTGTCCCCAGCACCCTTTCCATTTTCTCTCTTCATTTTGTGGGAGATAGACTATTTGCAGATCTTTAAAGGAAAGCAGGTGAATGATAGCATGCCAGTTCTTCTTAAGTTGTCACGGAACTGGTTGATTCAATTTTTTTCTTTTTAATTCTCTGTCTTCCTCCTCCTAAACTCAGATGTAAACCAGAAGATGCAGTCTGACATAAGAACCTTGATGAGAATGGTTGCTGTATCTGACCTTCAAACTTCAAAGTCATGCTGCACTTCTGCATTTGCATGCAGAACCATTTACCACATTTGCCTTGTAATAAATACATCAGCAGGCCTCCTTTATTAAAAAGCACGTTTTTGAAACACGTAACAGGCATTTGATTAATTAGCTGGTTGAGCTCTTCAAAATTAAGTTGCTGAGGAAAGACATTGTTTTGATAACTGATCTAACAACTTGAGGCTGATATGTGTGTGTTTTATTTTCTTGCTCCGCACTGTAGTCATACTGACATCTAAAGGACATCTGACTCAGTAATTAAGTTTCTTGTAGTGTTCACATTGCACTGTTTTTTGTTTTCTTATTATCTGGAGAAACAGGCTATAATTAATGCATTCTAGCTAAGGAGGAAATAGTAATTAAAAGTACTTCTGAAGAATCTTCCCTCTCAAACTGTCACTGGCATACAGAAGCTATGAAAGACTGGGAAAATATGATGGCTCCAAGGGTATTTTCTATGCAGTAACGTAGTGTAGTCTGCAGTGGATCTAGCCAGCTGATATCCTGTAAATAATAATAGTCAAGTTAACCATATCTAGATGGTCAGAGTAACAGTGTGTTTGAGACCCATTGTATTGGATGCTTGGTGGTTGCTTGATGGGCAAATGCATCATTACAAGGCTCTGACAGTACCTGAAAATTTCTGCAATAAACTTTCCAGGCTGCTGATGGAAATAATACACTGTTTTGGAAAGGCTGGAATAAGGTTTCTTGCTGCCCTATTTTTCCTGCTATTTTTCCACTCTCATGCTCCAGCTGTGCCTTAGCAGTACTCTTGAGCTTCAGAGAAGACCAGTTCCTCCCATTTCCAGGGCTGAGTTGCCTCTGTCTGCTCCCAGCTCTGCTGTCCAGACTTCTACCCTGGGAGTTTTTTCAAGAGGGTTTCTGAGGTGAAATATAAGAGCCAGCGGTCGCTGGTACCTGCCGTTTGCAGTGTCTACATGTATGATCTCTTTATCCTGCAGACACTCACCTGAGTTGTCTCTTCGGAGAGCCAGCCCTCCTGGTGAAACTAGTGGTCTCTGGCATTTCTGTTGGCATCAGGGGGTTGGCAAAATCAAGCTCTTAGAGAGGTTATGTACCCTTCAGTGCTCTGGTGCAGTGAAGTTGCCAAGGCTACCCTGCGCTTTGATATAATTGTGACCTCTCACATCTCTCTCCCCAGAAGGGGAAACAATGCAAGTGGTTGATTAGAAAGAGGTTATATGTGGTTTTAAGGTTGGAGATGTGCTGAGTAGTGGCAGAAGTGGAAGGCTGGCAGCCAGAAATCCTGGACTCTGCCCCCACCTCCCTGAATGACTCAATGGTGAAGTGCTTTCAGCTCAGTTTTTTTCAGCTTCTCTATTTGAACAAGTTGGAAAAGTAGCACCAATTTTACACCGGGGAGTTCTGAAAGCTGCTGTATGGGAAGCGCTCGTGGTTTTGAATGTACCATATGGAATAGTGTGTATTAATTTATTTTTCCCATCAGTGAAATGAAACTTTATGCCTGGTGTTTCTACTGGTGGATGTCCGTTGGTTGCTGTCTTGGAAACGCATTTTTTTGGTTTCTGCCAAGCATCTACAGATCTACTCTATTACTATTAAGAGTGCAATCTGAATGTATCGAAACTGGTCATGGAATGGTATGAACTTATGTGTTTACAAGCTGCAAAGTACAGATTTACTCCTGAGAACTGATCATCATCTTAAGCTACGTTTCTGGTTTTGTTTTGGTTTTTTTTTTTTTTTTAATTATTCTTTATAGAAATAAATAAGATTTATTTATATAGTCCGTTATTTTTAAGAAAAGGCTAAGAAATAGCTGTTCAGTGATCACAGACTCCTGTTGAGCAGCAAAGAATTATTTCTTGCTTTTCAGTGGTGCACTTGTAAAGGTGCTACTGTGTGGTTTTGGGGGTGGGGTTCTGTTCGTGGATGTGTATTTTTATATAAGTTGCCGAGAAGTTACATGCTGTATTTCACATAAGACTGAAGCACAATCTAATTTTTTGGGGGAAAAGGTTTAGGAGGTATTCCAGCACGGAAAAGCTAATGTCTTAATGACAGCCATGTGACTGCAGCTATATTTAGGGCAACTAAGAAGCTTCATGTTCTAGTACTTAGATCTTTTAGGACTATTTTATGAGCTTGTTATCTAGAACTATAACATATTTAAAAAAAATGAAGCAGGGTGAAACAGTTTAGATCTGAACTGGTTGTTCACCTTTTGTTTTGGTCTGATGTTACAGGTTTAATTCAGCAAGTTAAGGTCTCTGCAATGTGAAGTTGAACTTTAAATTTTTGTAGGATTTAAGTCTTTTTTGGTGCTTGAAATTACATTAGACTAATTAGAAGTGTCAGGTAAATTATTTTGTGATTCAGAATCTGCTTTGCTTCTAAAATCCTTTTTTTGTCTTTATTCCCTATTTTTATGTGGTATTAGTTTTGTGACATATGAATAAGATCTTTTGATTTTGTTGTTTATTTTACATAGGTATCCTGTATGCTAAGACAACGATGGAAACAGCCATTGTATTTGAGTTCTGAGGGTTAAATCGGGGCACATTTTGAGATAACGGGGAGGAAATGGAACATTTAAAATTGGCTTGTTCTATGTATTTGATCTCAGTTTTCGTTTTTATTGGTATTGATAGTTGTATTTACGATTTAGAAAAGGGCTTGTCTAATTATAGCAACTGGAGCTTAGCAGAAAAAGCTCTTGAGAATTCCAAGCACTTTGCTTTTTCTCTTCTCTGTGTGTATGAGTTGCCACACTGATGCAAGACTCTAAGGGAGGTAGTGAAGGCTGATAATGTGAACTTGAAATTAAAACATAGTGATAAAAAGAAACGTTTGGAGGTGGTCTTGTTCTGTGAAAAATTCCTTTACAATGGCTCCAGTTTGAATTGGTTTTAAAAAGAAACTAGAACAATGTTATTTAGGATACATTGAAAGAATACTAGGATAAACTTCAAAATGTGTGTAGGTTGAAGGGAAGGAAGATGTAGAGCACCACTAATAGCATGGTGAGGTCAGTGACTTGATTGAATCTGTGGTCTTCTAGGAAAAATGTAAACTGTCCTTTAGTAGTTTTTTCTTCTTACCAGAGAAGACTCTGGAAGATGGGTTAAACTGTTCTAATTTCCAGTAGAACTCAAAAGTTGTGGTGTTCATGCAGGGCTGTTATGGTCATAGGCTAGACTGTCATCATTGCTCTCATGCTTCTGTTGTTCAGATGTGCAGCATCTCATCTGGATATTGAAAATGGTTCTATCACCATGCAACTGATACTTTTCAAGACAAAGTTGTGAGGAGGTTGTCTGTCTGTGTTTTCTTTCTGATGATCTCTCTCATGTTTTTTTTCTTAAGAAAAAACAGTTTGCCCATTTTTGAGCTAGGTTTGTTTTTAAATATCAGTAATAAAAGAAAACAAAATCTTGTCTCCAGATCCTGCCCCTGTTCTGTGTTATTTGTCTTTTTGTAGGTCCTGAACAAATCACAGACATTTTTAGCTATGAATTGTTTATATTTTGTTTTT